ATCGTGGTCACAACTGAAGGGTGGTAATAGTCGTAGTACGCCGCGCTGCTGTCGGTGCTGTCGGCCCCACGGCATGCACGCCCGCTGCCGCCCTCCACCGGTTGGAAGGCGTCCGCCGACTCAGCGACCTCTTCCAGCCGCTGCACCGCCAACCTCGGAGTGTGCAGATGCCCGCTCGCTTGCTCGCTCTCTTGTTCTTTCCCTCCCTCTCTCGATTGAATCTCTCCGAGAAACCGTAAGCAAATTGTGCCCGGCTCAGGCAGCGTGCTCTGCACCCTGCGCAGCCAAAGTCGACATCGGAGGCGCTGCTGGCTGAATTCGATGCCTGAGTGCAGGGCAGCAGGGAGCGGGGGGACGGGAGCCTCCCGAGCATCCGACATGGCGCGGGGCTACCGCTTCTCTTGGGACGTTGAGATGTCAGGACTGTCGGGCTTGTCAGGAGTCACACTCTGCACTCACTATTGCATCTCCAGGCCTGTGCAGCTGACATTAGCCACACACTGGCCACGGCAAGCATCCAGGCTCGAAGCTTGTGAGAAGCTCAACTGCATGTAGTCGCTGCTGGAGCCGCTGCATGCCCGGTCCCGGCCCATCTCCACGAAAGGCTCGTAGCGCTGGCAGACCGACGTTGGACTCTCTGGCGCGGTGGCCTCGATTGCGAGTGTCCACACGAGGCAGGTACCGGAGACCGAGTCGTAAGAGACGCCTTTGCAGCTTGTCACATCGCTCTCAGACTGCCTCACACAGAGGTCCTGGCAGTCCTGCAACGATGCGGCAGAGCGCTGCAGGTAGTACGAGCTCTGCACATCATCTGGGCTTCCACCCCGGCAAGCGCGGCCTTCGCCCCCGTCCACGTCACGAAACGGCAAGAAGCTGTGGCAGGTGCCGGATCCTCCATCTGATACGGAAAGCTCTCCGGATCCCAGCCAAACTGTGCATCCTGCAGAACCGAAGCCAACTCCTCGACAACCCGGCATGGACACACATCGCAATTGGCAACCGTACAGTGTTGACACCTGCTGCACGCCAACAGAGAACGCAGTCAACGCAGCTGCATGGCATGTCGAGGGATAACCTCCGTTGAGAGCTGTGAAGGCATGACTGTCCTCGAAAGCATCGTATCCACCGTAGCTCATGCACAAGGAGCCTTTCGTATACGTGGAGGCCTGGATCCCAGCGCGCCGAGTCCACACTTCACAACGTCCGTCGCGAAATTCAATACCCTTGCATCCGGCGGTTGTGGTACAGAGAATCTTGCATTCATCCACCGTTCTGCCACTGAAGAAACTGTAGTAGCTGCTGTAAGTATCCCGTGGATCCGAACCACGGCAGGCTCGGTTGATCCCACCTTCAATGTTGATGAAGGGCAAGTAGTGCAGGCACTGGGATCCGGGGGAAACGGCAACGGCTCCGATTCCTTCCAGCCTTGTCCAGACCTCGCACCAGCCTCGGTACTCGATGCCTCTGCAGCTCGGAGTGCTCCCCCGTTTCCTCATGCAGAGCGCCTTGCAAGAGTCCAAGCTCGGAGCCTCCACCGGGGAGTAGATGCTGTAGTAGCTGCTTTGGGTGTCGCTAACCCCGCTCCCGCGACAAACCCGGTCAGAGAAGCCGTCCAGTGTCCTGAAGGGCCTGTATCGGAAGCAAGCTCTTCCTGGTGCGCTGACTGAAGCCTGGATCCCATCGGGAAGGGTCCAAATCTCGCAGGCGCCCAAACGAAACTCAATGCCTTTGCACACCTCGGTCCTCATGCACAGCCTTTGGCAAGCATCCATCGATGAATTCTCAGGCCACGCGGTAAAGACAAGGTAGTGGCTGTCCAAGTTATCCATCTCATCCTGGCCACGGCAGGCTCTGTTCATGCCTCCTCCAACAGGCTCAAAAGCAGAAGCCGTGAGCAAAGGATCTGGACTTCCGTACCGCAAGCAGAGGTGCCCTTGGCTGGCCTTCGTAGTCTGGATCCCGAAGCGCGTCCACACCTTGCAGCCGTCTTGCGAG